GAGAACGAACCCAATTTATACTGCAAAACCCTCTTAACAGTTCAGAGATTGGTGGTCTCAGTTCCTCTTGAAAGCGGGAGAGACAGGGAGAGGGAGAGGGAGAGGGAGGGAGGGAGGGAGGGACAGGGAGGGAGAGACAGGGAGAGACAGGGAGAGACAGGGAGAGAGAGGGAGAGAGAGGGAGGGAGAGACAGGGATAGAGAGAACAGGGAGGGAGAGGGAGCGACAGGGAGGGAGACGGAGGGACAGGGAAGGACATGAGGGAGGCAGGAACACATCAACACGTCCTGGGCATCCACTGCATGCTGGGCACCAGGCAAGAGCATTTACAGTCACCTCGTTTAACTCTCCTAACAAGCTACCAGGTAGATGCTGTCACCACCTTCACTTTACAGAGAGGGAAGCTGGGGCCCAGGCACCGTGCTCAGGCTGGTCTGCCCCACTCTGAACCCCGAGTCTTTCTTCTACCTCACCCTGCCGAGGAAGCACCAGGCAGTCACGCAGCCCCAGCCGGGTAAAATGCGTCCTCTTTTAAGTGTACTCTGGGGCACGCGTTACACAAAAACATCCTCTCGTGAATTCTGGGACTTGAAAAAAAAAGCACACTCTCCTGATTTACCTTTCGAGAAAATCTAAACTTCCTTCCTATGCCAAGATACGTGTGTACATGTGCAAGCAGCACAGAAGGCAGGAGGCCCGACCCCTGGGATCCAGCACGAGGTTTTGTTAATCAATGACAATAAGCACTAATGTTTAGCAAGAGAGCTGCCTGAGCCTAGCCTGGTAATGTGGTAACAGCGTGACCCTGACACTTGAGCTAACCTTTGCTGAATCTTGGAGACTAAGGCCCTGGATGCAGATGCCCTCTCCCTTCATCTCCTCCTACGCCCGTCCTCCCACCTGAAGCCTTCCAGACAACTTCAGCCAGTCCCACGCCTTCCCCTGTGCTTTCACACTTACACCCCTGTGCTCAGACTTGGTCTTGGCTGCACATGTACTAAAACAGAAATGATACTGAGAAGGTGAGTGTAGCTCCTGCCTTGGGGACCTGGTTTTGTCCAGTATTCTAGATTTTTCTGAAGTGTTAGTCTGGGCTAGTGGTCATACACTTGGATTCTGCCTCCAAAGGACCTCAAATGCCAGCACTGACATTTATGAACTTCCTAACTCCGGTGGTCTAATGGTAAAGATCTGGCACTCTCACTGCTGTGGCCTGGGTTCGGGTCCCGGTCAGGGAAGCAGACCCCTGTCTGTCGGTTGTCATACTGTGGTGACGGCGTGTTGCTGTGATGCTGAAAGCTATGCCACTGGGATTTCAAATACCAGCAGGGTCACCCATGGTGGACGGGTTTCAGCAGAGCTTCCAGACTAAGATATACTAGGAAGAAAGACCTGGCCACCCACTTCTGAAAAAACTGGCCATGAAAACCCTGTGAATTGCAGTGGAGCACTGTCTGATATGGCACCGGAAGGTGAGAGGATGGCACAAAAAGACTGGGCAGGGTTCCGCTATGCTGTGCACAGGGAGTTGCTGGGAGTCGGAATCAACTCAATGGCACTGAAAAAAAAAACAACCAGGGCAGGCCCCGTGGCTTAGCGGTTAAGTGCGCGCGCTCTGCTACTGGCAGCCAGCAGAGCCCGGGTTCGGATCCCGGGCGCGCACCGACGCACCACTTCTCCAGCCATGCTGAGGCCGCGTCCCACATACAGCAACTAGAAGGATGTGCAGCTACGACACACAACTATCTACTGGGGCTTTGGGGAAAAAAAAGGAGGATTGGCAATAGATGTTAGCTTAGAGCCGGTCTTCCTCAGCAAAAAGAGGGGGATTAGCATGGATGTTAGCTCAGGGGTGATCTTCCTCAAAAACAACAACAACAACAACAACAACAACCAAAAAACAAAACCTCCAGGCAAGTGACTTCACCTCTCCGAACCTTAGTTTCTTTCTCCATACAATGGGGCTCGTTATGAGGATTAAATGATGTAAGGCATGAAATGGGTTTAACAAGATGCTTGGCACATCGTGACAGTTTCTTAAATGTTAGCTGCTAACACGCCAAGGCTATTAAGGGATTATCTTATTTAATACCCACAATAACCTTATGAAGTAGGCATTACTATCCCCACTCAACAGATTAAAAACAAATAGACAAACCTGATGGCTACATGTTAAATAACTAGCCCAGGAGCACAGAGCTGGGGGAGATCCTAGGAGAATCAGATGAGAACCCAGGTGGGATCTTGCCCTCTGCTCTAAAAGGCTCTCAGCAATAATTCTATGATTCACCCAAAACTAAGCCAGGCCAGGGGTCTCCTCGATCTCTAGAGATGGTGGGGATGCTAACCAATGCCAGGGAGACAGGTTATGCCCCTGCTCAAATACCTATTTCTGAAAATGAAATGCATCCCAATTATGTCTGTAAGGCCAGCTGGGGGCCTTTCTTGACACATTAACCGTCAGCAAGACCCTCCTGGGCTTTTCTGAAGCCAGTTCAGGAACAAGCAGGGGCCCCTGCCCTTGGAGCTGGACTGTGTTTTCCAGACCAGTCCATTTGGGCAAATGGAGAAGTCTGCTGGCCTTTGTTCCCCAGAACAAGACAGCCCTGGGTCCAGAGGGTTAGGAACTAGATCAAACCAATACTCCTTCTTGATTTACTTATTGATTTATCTAATACGACCTTGTTGGGCAAAAGGCTCGGGGTGGCCAAAAGTAAAAAGACATTAAAATTGGGATCAGGAGATGGAAAAAGGCAAGTGTTGCAAGCTCTTATGCCAGTGGGCCAGGCAGGTGACAGAACGAGGAGGTGAGCCAGGTGGGGCTAGAGAGGCCATGCCCTCCCTAAGGGACTGCGCTGGCTTCAGCAGGCCGCCGCCTCCAGGGAGCACCGCACAGGGTTGCCGGATCTGATTTCTCAAAGGATGGCAGAGATGCAGATTTCCTGATTTATAAATACGAGAAACTCAATTTTTTAGAAACCAGGTTTGAATCTCTGAGATCAGAAGTCAGGCGGTGGCTTTCCTTGGAGGGGTGGGGATGACCAGGAAGGGACACCGGGGGGAATGCTGGTTACATGGGTGTGGGCAGTTGGTGAACATTTCATGGAGCCATGTACTTACGATCTGTGCCTTGCCTCTCGGATAAAAAGGTAAAAAGAGAAATAAACACCAGCATGTTAAAACAGCTACAGACTGGCTACAGCACATCTCCAGCCTGGATTTCATCTGTGGGACACTGGTTACAACTTCTGAGATACGAGAGCAAAGGAAATCAGGCTGTCAATGTGGAAGTCAGGTCCCAGAGTGATTAACATGATGTCAAAACCCAGTTTGGAGCTTCCCAACAGCCAAAGCAAAATAGGAAATGGAAAATATAGTCATTTATATGGTACGTCAGGCCTAGAAGGGAAAAAAATAAATGTATACCCAAAAAAACCTTCCTGGGCACACAAGGCTGACAGAACATCTTCTGTGAGGTTTGTGTTACTGAGTGAGAAGAAGGTCTTATTTTATGTTGCTGGCTTATTTTGTTTCTTGGCTTGCTGAGCTGAAAAAGAAGTTTCTTCTCCTCCGCTGAGCCTTCTCCTTGGCACAGAGGCCTCCTGGTCCTGCCCAGCCCTCCTACCCTTTGCCTGGAATGTGAACAAACCTGCTGGTGAAACAGAAACACAACTAAGTGCTCTGCCATGGCCAGGGGCCTGGCAGAAGAGGCCCCCGGCAGCGAGGGGGAACTCACCGTGCATGTCCATCATCCCCGGGGAGGAGCTGTTCTCCGGAGTGGTCACCTCCGAGCCACACTTCTCCTCTTTGCCCTTTTTCTTATTCTTGTTTTTCTGGAGGAGAAAATGGAGCAGAAACCGAGTCACCAAATCGTGTGTGTGCACATGAGCGAGAACCTGGGTAGGGGTATGAATATTTTATTCCGCCAATTCATCTTGGAGCCCCCAAGTCCCTGGAGGGCTCTCCTTAGCCTGCATTTGAACACATCCCATTAGAGGCCTCACCTGCTGCAGAATCAAAGAGCTCTGCAGAAGAGAGGATGCTGGGGCTGCACTAGGGGGCTGGGAACCTGCCTTGTTTGTGGGGCCAGCACCAGCAGGCATGCAAACACCCTGGCTGGTGGGAATTTCCTTCTCCTTTAGGGAGCACACCTAGGGGCAAGACCAGGGCCACCCCGCCCAGAGCAGGGACTGTGATGCCAGGTAAGGGGTGGAAAAGCCAGAGTTCACACATTCCCACTATCTGCAGGCCCCGGGAGCTGCACTTCTCAAAGTGCCATGAGCTGACTTCAGGCACCACCTGGGATGACTAAGTGAGGAGAGAATCTCAAGGTGAAGGGATTGAAGGGGATGCTTTCTGTGGGTGGTTCCATTTTTTACAAATGGAATAGAATCGTGTTGCAAACAACCTAACTGTGTCCATCAGTAAGAGACTTGTCAAATAAATTACGGTACGTTCATTCAAGGTAATACGATGCAACAATCACAGAGAATAAGGCAGCTCTGCACGTACAAATGTGGAATGTTCTACAAAAATATCAACATATTATAATATTTCAATATCTTCAAGATGCATTAAAGAAAGGTGCAGACCATGTGAATGGAAGGCCACCATTAATGGTAAAGAACAGGATAAACAAATGTGTATTTGCATGTGTGTCTGTGGCACCCACTCTCTGGAAGGATACACACTGGTTGCCTCCAAGGAAAGGAGCTGGGTTGGCAGGGGGTGAGGCATGAGCAGGGATGGGAAGCAGATTTATAAAAAGATATACAGTAAAAAAAAAAAGTAATATTTGAAGAATATGCAAACCTACAGAGACGGAAAGTAGATTGGTGGTATCCACGATCTTGAGGGGTAGAGGAGTGACTGCTAATGGGTATGAGTTTTGTTTTTGGGGTAATGAAAATGTTCTGGAATTATAGTGGTGATAGTTATACACTGTGAATATACTAATACTGCCGTGTACACTTTAAAAGAGTAAATTTTATGGCATGTGAATTATCTTAGTTTAAAAAACAGTTTTAAAGTAACCGTTGAAAGTTGAAACATGTTTTACGTATTTATTTTATTTATTTTAATAATTTTATTTATTTATTTTTTTTCCCCCAAAGCCCCAGTAGATAGTTGTATATCACAGCTGCACATCCTTCCAGTTGCTGTATGTGGGACGCGGCCCCAGCGTGGCCGGAGAAGCAGTCTGTCGGTGCGCGCCCGGGATGCGAACCCAGGCTGCCAGCAGCGGAGCGCGCGCACTTAACTGCCAAGCCACGGGGCCGGCCCTGTTTTACGTATTTAAAAGAAGAAAATTTTCAAGAGTTCTGAAGGAAACAAAAATGGAGTAACCATGTCGTCACTGGGTGTTTAAAAAAATGAAAAGCTCTCCCTCCACAATGCAGATTCCTGGCCACAACCACCAGAGATATGGATTCAGCTGTCCAGGGCGGGGCCCAGGAAGCTACATTTCTTCAAGACTCCCAGGGGATCAGATGCTCAGCCAGGCGTGGGACCCATCGCCCTACAGGGAAAGGGGGTGGGGGAGACAGCGTACTGTACATCATAGTTCAGAGATGACAGCAAATTAATATTTCGTGAGCACCGTCTGCAGAGCCGTGCCGGGCTGAGTTCTCTCTGTGTGATATGTTGCCTTTGCTCTGTTGCAGCAAAGCCCAGGGGCTGGATATTACTGCTCCACGGCACAAGGGGGAACGAAGGCCCAGCCAGTGGGGTCACCTGTCCCACATCATGGGTTAATCAAGGGTGATCTGTCCAACTCCAAATCCAGTACTCTTTGCCCAGCCGGGAGCTGCCCTGTCCTTCCCGACAGCCCGTGTATTACGTTTTCTCCATGATCACAATCCATTTGGCACTTCCCTGATGTCTGTTTCATGCTATTCTATAATTATCTTCCCCCAACGAGATTATAAATTCCTTGAGAGCAGGGACCACGTCTTCTCAAATGCAACCGGCGTTTATACAACACCTAATGATGTGCAAGGCACAGACATGGGCAAGAGCCAGGAGCTGCCTTCGAGGAGGCTGGCCCCGCTCCGCTCTCTCTCCGGAATGGCCGGCACCAAATGCTGTGATCGTCTATGTCTCGGTGCCTCTGGGGAAAGCAGCCCTGGTGGCTCCATGAGCCAGGCCAGAACCGGAAGGGACGACAAATGCCCACGTTCTGTTCTCAGCCCAGCGCCGACTCACCCAGGGGGGAGCATGTGATCACAGGGTCAAGAATGGAGCCTCAGCCCTGCCTGGAGACCCCGGACAGGGAACTGAAGACAGTGGAAGGAGGCTTAGCCTCGCCTTTAAGGCCCCCTAGAAACCTACTCATCATGACCATGTCAGGACCAGAGCCATGTGGGTTAGTTTGAGCCATATTCCCGGAGGAGAGGACTGTTTGCATGAATAGAGAATATACTCCAGGCAGGAGGAACAGCCCACGCAAAGGCCTGTAGGTGGGACCGTTCTGGATTTTGGCTGGAAATGAGAGGAGCTGACCTGGGATCTTTGGGGGTAACTGGCCTCGGAGCCATGAAGCTGAAAAACCCCTGTGATGTGGGGCAGCTGCCTATCATCAATCGGCCATAAGATCAAGCACGGCCACTGGAGCTCCCTCTAGTGGTCGTCATCAAGACCCCTCCTGGAGCTTCCCGCAGAGGCCCATGCTTTTCCCTGCACCAAATTCTCAGGGTGGGCTCACCAGTCCTACCAGCAGCTCCAACCACCAGAAGGCTGCTCTCTCCAAGAGCAGAGAGAGCGTGTGCTTTGGAGTGAGACAGACCTGACACTGGATGAGTGACTCTGGGGAAATGGCTTCACCTCTCTGAGCCTGTGTCCTCACTTGTACAGAAAGGATAAAGAGATCAACTCCACAGACTCAGTGTGAGAAATAAATGAGGTAATGCCTAGCAGGTGGTCAGCGGCTCAGGAACAGTGCTACAATGAGGGCGCGTCTACACGTCTGTGGGTACCACCACACCCGCCCCAAACCACGGTGCCCAGGGCCCCTGGCAGGGGGCGCCTTTGCACTAAGGCACGTCCCCACTGGCCTAAGCTGGGCCCTTCTGCTCCCAGTGGCCTTGGCCCCAGGGTCCCGCCATGGTGGGCGGCAGCAGACAGCCCCCTGTCCCCTGTCCCTGTGATGGGAGGGAGCACAGACGGACAGCCCCACCCCAGGGGGCCAGCCTCACATACTCACATCATCAACCTTTGGCTCAGTCACAGGGACCCACTTGTAGATTCGCAGGGATGTGTCACCCACAGTCACCCACTTCTTCTCCCTGTGGAGAACGAGGAAGAGCCCGTTACCAGAGGGCTTCTGGGGCAGGACCCTGCTCACCCCTCGTAGGGGGCACAGGCCACACCCCCTTGCAGCAGCTGTGACACGTGGCTGCTCAGCTTGGGGTTAAGAGAATGAGCTCCGGGTCACGGAGATGAGGGTCTGAATCCCAGCTGTCGCTCACTAGCTGGGGGCCCCCAGGGCAAGTCACCTCACCAGTCTAAGCCTCAGTTTCCCCATCTGTTAGACCACATAGGGTCATCAATCTCTCCGGGCTGCCGTGAGGATCACAAGCATGGTAAAAGCTTCCCCGTGCCTGGAAGGAACGGCTTGGTAAGACTGGAGGGAGAGAGGGGCTGCCATTAGGACGATTCCTCTGGATGAAGGGAATTGGGCCCCACGTTCCTCCAGCTTTTGCCCCACAGAGCCGGTGGACTGGACCCCCCCAAGCCCTTGTGGGCAGCAGAGAGCTTCAGGCCAGCGGGGCATTTCCTCCTGTGGGGGCGGGGGTCTTCACCAAGGGCACCCAGGGGCTCACCTTGCCCTCCTGGCAACGCCTCTCAGGTCGGGGGAAGGGAAGCAGGACCAGACGGCATGGTAACCACCCCGTGCTCTTCCCAGCAAACGCCACCTGGAGCAGCCAGGGAGAGCGGGAGGGCAGTGGCCTCAGCCCTGAGGGCGGTCCCCAGGCGTCGATACCGAGGGACTGTGACAGGGAAGCACAGCCTGGCCGAGAGGATGCTCTGAGACCCTACACCTCAGTTCTGAGACAGGCGCGCGTTTCAGGGTCTCAGCTCCTGATACCCACATCTGCACGGCTGCCCCCGCCCCACCCCCAGCCACACCCTAAACTCCTGGGGGACAGCATCCAGGGCCCCCCAGCTGCTAGAGGCAGGTCTACGGGTGAGGAGAAATCACACCCCATGAGAAGGAAAAGGGGTGACTGGTTCTCATTAAGGATAATAATTACCACCCTCTCCTCCCCACCACTCTGCTCCGAGCCATGTTCACCCTCTCGATCACTGCTGCAGCCTCCAGACTCCAGGCCCTGACCCCCCTCAGTCTACAAGTCAGGTCATGTCACCTCCTGCCCCTACCACTGAGAGTGACAGCCAGAGGCCACGCCCCTGAGGACACTGGGGCTCAGGGAGAACACCCCAGAAGGAAAGCTGGGATTCCAACCCAGGCAGTTCGGGCTCTGGAGGCCACTGTCCCTGCCCCAGGCTCTGCCATCTTAGAAGTGGGAGGTCATGAAGGATCTGCCCGATGAGGAAATAGGCTGAATCAAGGGACCCACAATGGGATGTCAGGGAGGGACACATACCTGGTACAGGTGGCACAGCTGCCAGCAGCCCTCAGCAATTTTAATGACAAGGGTTCCACCAGAACCGAGAATTATATGTGGCAGGAACACCTGTTTGTGAACTGCTGGGCATCTTGTCAAGCCTCCCCGCCCAGACCTCACCTTGGGTCCTCCCCTCTGTGGGTGGGTGGCCCTCACGTGCTCGTGGGACATGTGACAGCCACCCACACCCCTTCGCCACAGGGCATTCTGGGCACCCGAGCACACTCAAACCAGCTAACCAAAACCACGGACACCCCCACTCCCCAAACTGTGCCTGCTCGGGTCCCACACCTTCACTGCTGGAGGAAGCTAGGGCCTGGCTTTTCATTATTCTACTGTGACCATTTCTAGTGCCTTCTATGCGCTAAGCACTGTACACACTTGCTCTAATCTTCCCATAACTGCGTGGCAGGAACTGTCACCTCCCTCATTTGACAGATAGAGAAACTGAGGCATGGGGAGGTGACATCATTCTCCCCAGAGCCAGTAGTCAAACCTTCCACACCACACTGCTCTTTGGAGTAGCCTCTCCTGCACCCATCCCTGCTCCTTTTAGCCCAGAAAGAATTCAGTAAAGGCAAGTATCTAAGTCACTGCCCACCTATCTCCTATCTCCTGGAGGCAAGATGGACCATCTACAATCCCAGTCTATCCACACCTCCATTCGGAATAATCCGAAGGTACCTGGAAGGGACAGGGGCTTTCCAAGGCACAACCTCGGTGACAAAGCAACAATCATAATAGCCATTGTGTGCTGAGGACTTCCTTCAGGCCAAGCACTTTATTTGCATGCCCTCTCTCCCGAAGACTGCCAACAGGCCTATGAGAGCGGGACTATCGCCACCCCACTTTATAGTTGGGGAAATGGGAGGCCCAGAGAGGTTATACCACTAGTTCATGGTCACACAGCTAGTCAACGGCAGAACCGGGATTGGACACAGGCTCTGACCCCAGAGCCCACCTTCTGCTATTCTGTCTTCTGTGAAAAGCTAAGGAATCACTCCACAGAGCACATTGGTAACAAGCTGGACAAAGAAGCACAAATTGCTAAATCCCACACAGATGGCCAAAGGCACTCACTGCTCACAAGGCCTCAAATGGCCTCCTCGGCCTGAGCCCCAGTAGGTCAGCAATCCAAGGTTCGACTGTGTTAAAAAAAAAAAAAAAAAAGTAATTGAATTGCAATACACAGGACACCTCTCAGGGCAGAAAGTGTGCCAGATCTGGGCTTTGCAGGCACATGAGCCAACACAAATGTGTGAAGTTGCAGGTGTTTCCCAGAGGTTACAGGCACCGCAGGCTGTGAGCTGAACGCAGCAGTTTCTCTGCCTCCCCTTGCCCAGCTGGTGATCCCAGGGCTCAGGTCCCCAGTCCTCCCCAGAGATTAGCAACTGTTCTTCAGCTGTATTTCTAGGTGTGGACATCGAGGGACTATAAGACAGAGGGAAGAACGTTAAGAAGTTGACCTCAGGAATGGACCTCGGGACTGCCGTTCGGTCGGCAGCCACCCAGGGAGAGACAGGGCCCCAGAGCTCAGGTCTGTCACTGAGCCCGCTCCAAGGAGGACAGGACGGGATTTCATAGACATGTTGCGTGAGCTCCGGGTGTCTCATCAAGCCAGCAGCTTGGCAGCACCTTGGGAAATGAGACACGGGTTCAGGGGAGCAGCTGAGAGTTCCCACTACTGCCCCCAAACCCATCACCCCAGAACACACTGCCCCCCCACCCTCAATGAGGGTATTAAGCTGAACTTATTACCTATATCTGGGGCGGCAAACAAGCGGCCAACAGGCGTGTTTTGTCTGGCCTGCATGACACTTTTAAAAATTTCAATCAATTGCCAAACTTTAAGAAAAAAGAAAAAAAGTCAGACTGTGCATAAAAATCCAGATTCCTGGATACTCTCAAAAACAAGATTTGGTCACAAGGGGCCTGCGTGCCCCGAGGAGCAATGGCTCTCTCCAGATGGGGCTCTGTGGCTCCCTCAGATCCCCCAGTTCTCACCACCTGTAGGCACTGGGCCCGGATTCACTGTGACCACCAGGCCGCACCCCAACCTTGCCATGAAGCTGCCCCTGGGCGTGCCCTGAGCCCTCCTGCCTTGCTGGCCCCTGGTAACCAGCCAGGCTTAAGTACCCCTCTCTCCCCCATCAGGGTCTCCTCGCCAAGGAGACCATCTGGGGGTGACGCACCACCCAAGGGGACGCTGCTGACTCCCTCAAAGAGGGCTCTGAATCCTTCACTTGGTATTCACTTCCCAGGGCTAGTCCTTGACCCCTTAGGAGGACTGGCTATGGCTGGCCTTATCCTAACCAGGCCCACTGGCCCTACTGTGTGCCCCTACCCCTGGAGGCACCGAGGTGAGGCCCTAGGCACAAACCTCCCTCTCCCCCAGGGACAGGTGGGAAGTCCTCGGGGAACAGGCCTCTCTCTGTCTTCACAAGACACTGAGGGACCCTTCAGACCAAGGTCCAGGGGTCCCCAGCCTAAGCCTACTTCACAGCTCAAGCCTTTGCCTCCCCCCAAGGACTCCCCCTCCCCTGCTCTCTTCCACCCACCCTGGGTCTCCTCACCCTGGCCCAGTTTCCCAAAAGCGGCCGACCATTTTGTTCTTCCTTCAGCCATCTTCTGGCTGCCTCACACCCTACCAGCCTGCCTTACTGCGACACCAGACAGCAAGGAGAGGCGAGACGGCTGGCAGCTACCGATGGGGTGGCCACAGCTGGCTGCTGGCTTTTTCCAGGGGCAAGGGAAGGGTAGGGCTGGCAGGGGATTTTTAGGGGTCACTGGGGCTGAGGTGAAACACCACCCCAGGCTTACAGGCTGAACGGTATGCCAGACACTTCCGTTCTCCTCTGGATAAAACACAGGATGCCAAATTAAATTTGAATTTCAGATAAACAACAAATAATCTTTTAGTATAAGTATGTCCCAAATATGGCATGGGACATACTTATACCCACCCCCCAGAAAATTTTTTTCAAGTTATTTCATTGTTTATCTGAAATTCAAATTTAACTGGGTGTCCTGTAATTTTATTTGCTAATCTGGCAACCGAGCGTCCCAGACAGTGGTGAAATGCATGGTTGGTGGCCACGCAGTTAATAAACAACCCAGAGCCTCCAGGACCGACTGGAAGACCCGTTCTAAAGGCACAGCAAAGGTGAGATTTGGCTTCTCCGGGCTGCAGAAACCCAGGAAATAAGGTGAAGTCCTTTTTGCTTACAAGGGGCAGAAAAAAAAGAAAAAAATCAGCAAAATGCAAGTTTCCACAGAGCCCACTTTACAATAAGGAGTGCATTTAATGACGCCTCCTGTGTGCAGAGATAAGTGCTCTGGGGACACAATCTTACCCCAGGAGGGGAGACAGCGCAGGACCCCCCTCGCTGCCATGGTTAGAGAAGTTACATGCTTTGCCCAAGGTCACAGGAAGGGGGTGAACTGGAAACCCAGCCATGAGATCCCAAAGCCTGAGGTCCTTAGAGGACGTGACATGTTGTTTCCCAAAACAGGAGGAGGAAGGGAGACATGCTCTCCTCCCCTCCCCACAAACACATGCTTGGCCCACAGTGGGTTCAGCAGCACTGAAGGCCTCCAGGCGGGCTGCTCTGGGGCCCAGCAGGGTGCAAAACCCCATAGCTCCATCTGCCCTCCCTGCAGAGCAGCTGGTGGGCCCGCCCTACAGGAGCAGCTGTCAGGGTGCAGGGGCCTCTGCCCGGCTGGGAACCTGGGGCAGAAGGCCCCACCATGCCTCCTGGAACAGAGAAAGGCAGCTTGTCCCCAGCCCCTTTCTCACCTACAGGCCCAGACACCAGTTCTTTCTTTGCACAGGCGCTAAGGCAGGGGACAACTCCAGCCTTCCCTCTGGGGATCCGGTAGGAGAGGGGGTTGTGGGCTTGTTTTCCTGTGTGTGTTTTGGCCTGCAGCTGTTTCTGCCATTTTTAAATGGCTTCAGTCGGGCACTGGGCGCCCTGCACGCCGGGGGAGCTCCCACAGTACCGAAGACTTGGATCTCAACTTTGGAAGGCCTCCCCTTCTCACGGTTCTGAAAATTCTTTGTCCCATTGGAGCCAAACCCAGCCCTCGGCCGGGCATCCGGCCATCTGCAGACAGCCCTTTCCATAGGAGGCCGGGGAGCACGTGGACTTTATTGATTTTCCTCTTGCCTTTTTTGTTGGGTTTGACTCAGAAAGGACAGCTAACTTGTGACACGGTTAGACCGGAGGCTCGCCCCCAGCGGTTTTTAGAGACCAAGGCGTTACTCAAAAAATGACACCCCTACCCATAAACATACCCGCCACGGGGCCGGCCCAGTTTTTAGGCTCTAAATAAAGGGTCAGGACGAGCCCGCGGGCGCTGACACCCGAGCACGTCGCGGCTGCTCCTCTCCCTCCCCGACCCTGGAGAAGCCGTGGGAAAAAAATAATAAAGTTGAAATCAGGGAACTGGGAGTTTTCAACAAGTCTGCCCCAACCTGGCGATGTGCTCGCGCCTCCGGCCTGCCTCTCGGGCCGACCCCGAGTCAGACCCCCCGAGGCCGCGCACCGTTCGCTCGTGTTAATTACAACGAGGCCACGCCGGGCAGAACCCAACGCGAGCCTGAGGAACACGCATGGCCACCCCCGAAGCCCCCTTCCCCCCGGGCCGAGAACAAAAACAACGGCTCTCTCCGCAAAACAAACACGCGCCGCGGGTTTGGGAAAGGCAGACGCGGCCCACGACCGGTTTCTGGTCAAAAATACTCGCTCGCCCGAGCCCCCGCGTCCCCGCGCGCGGTGCCCGGCTGAGCGGGGTGGAGGGTGCCCAGCGCCCGGGGCCCGCGGCCGCCGCCGGCGTTTCCTCCCCGCGCTCGCCCCCATCTTTCTTCCTCGCCGAGAGCCCTCGCTCCAGGCAGCCCAAAGCGCTAAATTTAAACGGCTCGCGCTCTGCAAACTCCGCAGACTCGAGGGCGCCGGGCCTGGGAGGCGGGGAGCGAGCGGGCGAGCCAGCGCGCAGGGAGGGAGGGAGCGAGGGAGGCCGGCG